CAAATCAATTTCATTGGCCCAGCCATGGCTTCTCCAATGTGAAATTATTGAAATTATTGATGCCCCCCAAATGCATATACATATATTGACGAAGGGAAGAAGAATTGTTCGTAATTCTGTTTGGGGGAATTGTGGTCATTTTTCGCAATTAAAAGCTTTACACATTTGGCAATCAATATATAAATATATATGTGTGTATATGAAATAATTAAATAAAATGTCGCTTAATTAAATTGGCACGACCTTTTTCGCGTTAAACCAACAGAGAAATATTCAATGTTGTTGCTGGCGTGGAATGATGATGATGATGATGATGCAAGTGATAAGCAAAAAGCAGAAGCCAGAGCAGCTGAAAACAAGAGGAATGCGTTTAATTTGTACGATGAGTTAAGTTAAGAAATACTCTATATTAAAGGGTATAATAGATTTTTGGAGAAATATTTAATGTTGGGTAAAGGTATATGGTGTTTAATTGTGTTGAACTTCAAGGGAAATATTATAAAATAAATTTAAACTAATTTAAAACTTATTTAAATTAAGATGTTATTAGAAAAATATATTTTCTTCCACAGATAAATTTATTTATAAAGAAAACTAAACTAAACTAAATTTTGAAATAAAATAAAACTAGTTAAGAGTAATACATAATTTATTATTATTTTTTCTAATATTATTTAATAATTTCTAATATTATTTTCTATTTATTTTCATTCTAGAATATTAAAATTGTACACAAAAAGGCTGTCACTGGGTGAGTCCTTTAATTTCAATATTTTTAATAAATCTTAATAAATTTATTTTATTATATATAGTTTTTTAAAGACCATTTCTTATTCGTTTTATCCTGAAATTAATTTTGTTTGCCGCTCATTTACGCATCTGAGTTCCAATTCACGCGCATCACAAAAATGTGACAGCTAGTTAGTGTCCAGAAGAGCGCCGTATGTGCCCCCTCTTCTCAGTTGGCCAATTAAATTCAATTGAATTCTTCTTTCTTTTTTGTTTTATTTGTTTTACTTGTTGTATTTTTTTTTTTATATTTTGTTCCTTATTTGTGTGGCTTCTGTGTTTATTTGTTTACTCTTTAACGCCTGCGCGCGTGCCTCAATTTAGTGGCAGTGAAGTCGGCGCTTTTTCAATGCACTTTGCCAGGCGATAGGCAAATGAGTCTGCGCATTAGAAGGTGGCCAAGGGGGAGTTGGGAGGGTTCGGGGCTTTTCTCACTGTGTACCCGCTGTGCGCCGCCTGTCAGCATATCAACGCAATTTGTGCACTCGCCAATAGACGAGCGTGGAGGAACTGCGTCCAAGTTGCGGCGCAGAGTCTCAGTCGGCAAATTATGGCCAACGATGCTCGGCGACTGCGCAAAGTGCCTCATAAATTCACGTCGCTGATGAAGTGATAGTGCCAAGGAGTAGTACGACGAATAGCAGGCCAAGGAGTTGAGGTAGCCACCGATTTAGATGCAGGCAAAGCAATAGATGCAGGGAGAAAAAAGAGGGTTCTTTAAAAAAAATAGAAAAAATATAAATAAATATATATAAATATAAACAAATGCAAATAATAATAAATAAATAATAATAAATAATAAATAATAAATAAATAATAATTTTAAATAATTCAAATATACATATATCAAAAATATATATATTTATACTTAGATTTTTTCATTAAATATATATAAATTCTTAAGTTTGATTTCCAAAATTAATAATTTAAAAAATTCTAATTAAACAAATTCTAATTATTGAAAAGTCGACAAATTTTTCTCTGCGTGTTTGCCGTAGATTGTTTATGGCTGCCACAGCCTGGCCAGAAAACTCGGCGAAAAAAAGATCCAACACAACAACATTGTTGCTCAGTGGCTCAACTAATGTGCCGCAGATAGGAAATAAAAAGGAAGCCATTAGAAAGTGCAAAAACAAATTGGCTAGATCAGCGAATTACATAACCTGTCTTTCACCACGCAAGACATCTTTCTAATGCCTTCTCTTAATAATGAAATAAAGCCAGGAAAAAGGTAATAAGATAGGGATAGTCATTTTGAGAAATATATTTTAAGGTGGAATATAATTTTATTAAAACCTTAAAAACCACAAGGAAAATATTAAGTATTAAGATTATTTGTTTAAAATAAATTTCAAAAAAATTCTCCATGACCAAACTTAGATGGGAATCCCCTCCAAAACTCTTCCATTGTCTCAACTTCCTCTACCAGTTGATTGATTTATCCCTGCCATTGACACAGTTTCCGCTAATCTCGCGCTTGGCCTCATCCAGGGCTTACAACACTTTCTGACCATTTCATTGTCTCGGCCAAGCCACTGTCTATTAACCGACCTTCGGCGGAGGCCAAGGACAATAACAGGACGAGGGCGAGTAATTGAAAGTACGCGACCAAGTTGTAAAGCAGATGTAAGGACATCAAGTGTCTGCCCAAGCCAAAAGAAGCGAAGGAAAAAATTGTGAAGAGGAGAATTTACCATAATAAAAATAGCTAACGCCCCGGCCCATGATTCAAGATTCAGTAGTGAGATGCCATAAGCACAAAGGCAAACTCTAGATAAAAATTCAATAAGCCACGGCAGGACACGAACGGAGACCCAGAACGAGGAAGACCGAAGGGAGGATGCGGCGGGGTCTGCGGTTGGGATTTTGTGGCCAATAAATAAAATTAATACGAACGCACTTGAGCGCAACTTGACCAAGGAGCAGAGCAGGTCTCCAGCGGAAGGTAGTCCTTCCTGTTCGGCCAGGGCCATCATGATATTTTTTCTTTCCTTCTCCATTTTCTCCTGTTTTGTGTGTTTTGTTTGTTGACTTGTTGAATGAGCCGAGGCCCGAGTCGAGTCCCCCAACTGTTGACTGGCACTTGGCTGGCCTTATGGCCAAGCCGATATTGTAGGTAAACAGAGATGCTACGAGGAGCAGCTTAAAGTTGGCCAAAGAAAGATGTTTAGATAAATTTAAGGAAATTAATAGAGACTATTTTAAAAAGTCAAAGAATTTTTTTTAATTTTTATAAAGTTTTTAAGGAGAAGATAATTATTTAAGAGGTTTCTTTTAGGGCTAAAAGATCTTGAAGTATTAATAAATTTAAGAAAAACCCAACCAATTACTTTAACTGGCCCAAACTTTCACTCTATTCACAATTGCCAATTGCTTGCCATAAAATTTCCCAGATTTTTTTTTCTATAAAATACCGAAATTCTTAAGGCGTTCCCACAATGCCTTCATAAATTAGTCAACTTCAGGTTGCAACGCCAAGGCATCTGCCAATGGTGCAATTCGAATACTGACACGTTGATGACCCCGCAATTGAACTGCCATAAGAAATCACTCTGCGAGGGAGACGATTATTCGTTTGGGTGGGGGAGGGGGTGTCTTGGGAGGTTAGCAAAGACTGCACCGCCCACTTTCAACACTTGCCACAACAATGGTGTGCGCAAATATTTGCCAGTCCAGGCCCAGCCGGCGAAAAAGGCATCTTGGATCAGCCGAGTCGCAAGTCTTGAGCCTCAGCCTCAATTTGAAATCCAATAAAATTTAATTGGAAACTTCATCACGGGTGCGAAAATTCACACTCTAAGCCAAGGCGGCAGGCACGACTCGGCTGCCGTTTGTCGTAAATCTATTGGCCAAGGCTTTTCCAGTTTTTCCGAAATGCACAACGAGAAATTATAAAATTCCATGTTTTTGTAACATAAATTATACATTTTAATTATTTATATTTATTTATTATTATTATTTTATTATATTTATTTTCTATATATATATATATTATATTTAAATATTTTTTATATATTTTATATTTATAGATTTTATATTTATATATTTTTATTTTACATATATACCTTCCCTTACCTTTTTAAAATAATTTCTCTTGGTGTAATCCAACTAAATCCACTATCCACAATCCATACGTTTCGTTTTGCACCTGGCGGCGTTTCTCTTGGGAAGCATCGCGATAAGGAAATATATATATTTTTTTCCATACAGTCCAGAGTGTGGCGGTGGGGTCGGGTGCTCATTCCGTTCCATTCCGTTATTGGCCATGGCAATATATGGCTTATTTATGATTTTCCTTTTGCCATGCCATATCTCTGGTCCATTGTCGACATTAATCGCTTTGCTGCGCTGAAAAGTATAACATGAAATTGGGATTGATTTATGTTATAATTACAAAAAAAAGGAACACTACAAGCTAGGTTTTAATTTGGTTTAAGGGGGGATATACATGTAAACGGTCAACATTTGGCAATTTTTCGTGAATTTTATTTTATATGAAATAGTCAAGCAATCGTCATGAAACTTTGGAGATAGTTAAAAGTAGAATCAAAGATGATACAAAAAATAAGTTATAAACAATATTTTACAAAATGGCGGATTTATGGAACATACGCCGTAGCGCCTCGAGCTTTGAGTTGCCGTGCTATGGACACGATAGAGCTCGTAATTCCTGTCCGAAATCCGTAAACTAAATTTTTTTGTATTCATTACACCTTTATCTTCTATTTGAACCTAAAAAACCAAAAAGAAATCAAGACAAAAAAATTAAATTTTGATTTGAAGAAAAAAATGCCATTTTCAGGTGATCAGTTTTCACTTCCCACCCTCTTAAAAAATAGTAATACTCAGTTTTATAACAACCATGTAGGTTCAAATAGAAGATAATTTCATGCTGATCATAATAAAATTTGATTCACCCCGATATGTTACGTAGTTTTTTGTGAATCGTGTCCATAGCATAGGTAGAAATGCAAGAATTTAAAGCTGAGAAAACGACGTTTAAAGTTTTTGATGCGCCCACGTTTACACTTGTATACCTTGCGTTCATACTTGATTTGAGGCACTTAAAGTTGGAATTCGATAATGAAACTTTCAAAGTATGTTCTTTAAGTAATAAACTATTTTTTAAACCAAAAAAAAAAATTGCAAAAAAAATTTTGGTTTACATGTATATCCCCCCTTAAATAAAATATTAAATACCCTCAAAAAAGTAGATTTTTCAATATTGAATATTTTTTATTGCCGTGTTGAACTGTGTAATTTGGGATTCTGTGAGAAGTCCGAAAGATAGTTGCAAGTCTTCAGTGAAATGTTTGGAATAGATGTTCGATGGGATCAATGGCCCTGGGTGGCTGCATCCTCGATGTACTCCCACCAGTCCTTCTCGTTGCCCTCTCGCACATGGCTAAGCAGGACATGCCGACGCTTCTGGCAGTAATGTGAGAGATCTAGGACCTTCTGCTTAATATCATACACATTCTTTGCCGTGATCTCCCGCTCCAAGCACTCGGAGATCTTCTCGGTGGCCATCTCCAAGTCCCTTTGGTTATATTCAAAAATCAACTTCTGATTGTTGTTCTTCAAATAGAAGGCAAACACGTAGCTGTACATCAGGGTAGAGCGGCACTGGCACAGAGCATCGACAGCATCGCGCAGAAACTGGACTTCGATCCAGCTAATCTCCGCCTGCATGTCATCCATTTTGGCCTGAACATTGGCATACAGCTTGTGCTCCATTCGCATGCTCTGCATGTGGTTCGCATAGCGATTGTAATAGTGAAGATAGCGGGCCATTGTTGAGCGGTACCTCTGCTGGGCCAGACGCGCCTGCTTGGACTCCTCCTCGTCGTAGCGGTTGCAGCTGTACCAGGACGAACCGTGCGGCTCCCAGGAGCCCAGACAGACCCAGCAGAAGTCGTAGCGACAGGAGGGATTCTTGCAGACCATGTGATTGCAACCGCCATCCTTCTCGATAGTCACCTGGCACTTGGGGCACTCCTTGGTGTTCTGGGCAATCCAATTGGAGGTCTCCGAGTCCTCGAGGCACTTCTTCAGCCACTCCTTGAGGCAGCCGCAGCTGGCGGGCTCGTGCCAGTTCTCGCCACAGCCAAAGCAGAACTGATGGCCGCACTTGCACTGCACAGCCTTGGGCTCCAAATAGTTGGCCTCGATGGCATGGGTGCAGTTGGGGGCGGGACACCATCGCATCAGCGTGTTGCACTCCACAAAGGTGTTGGTTATCAGCTGCTTGTAACGCTCCACAACATCGGGGTCATCGGCGAGCGCCAGAAAGGAGGCATAGTCCACGAGGATATCGCAATTGGCAGCCGGACAGGTGATCGTGTGTGTCAAGCCCTCGCTGCAGGTCTTGTTGGCCAAGTATTGCTTCCAGCAGGCGACGCAGTAGCTGTGGCCACAGCCCAAGCCCTTGAGCTCATCGCAGGCACAGAAGCATATACCGCAGTGCTTCTTCTTTGTAGAAGCGGGTGAGCCCACAGCTTCCGCAGGACTAGCATTCTCCTGCTCAAAGGGATTCAGGACGTGCGCACGTTGGAAGAACTCCTGCGGGCTGCTCTCAAAGTAATTCTCAAACAGCCGCTCCTTGTCCCACTTAAAGTGATTCAATATAGTCCGCGTGACCTGCGGCGACAGATTCAGGACATTGTTCACCTCATCGATGATGTTCCGCTGATGCTGAACTATCTGATCCACGGAGAGAACCTTGTAGACAAAGTCATCCGGGGCCACATTGTGGTTGGGTCCCTCCGGCAAAGCGATTTCCGTGCAGGTGTCCTCATCGCTGTCCCAGTTGCTGCAGCTCAGGCAGGAAGGACTGTGGCTGGGCACAGAGCGATGCGAGTCGCCGTGGTCCTCATCGGAGAATCCGTCTTCAGAATTCATTCTACAGCATGTGGGTTTCTTCTTTTTTTTTTTTTTTTTTGGAATTTATAACGGGACTAAGCCCCTTTTTTTTTGGCAATGGTCACTGCGCTCGCTGCCACTTCCACATTTGATGAAGCAGTTCGATTTGAGGTTATTCCGGGGAAATGGCAACAAAACGATGACAACAACAGGGAAAAGGGAATATTAAACACGTTCTATGGGATGAAATAATGTGTGTTTTTAGTATTTCTACTGAAGACTGACACTTGAGGCTTGATAAAATAATTACCAGTTGCTGTGACAGTATTTGCTAGACTCACTGAAAATAAATTAAAAGAGAAATATTGAAAAGAAAAAATTGAGAAAAATCGTTTATAAGGCTATAAGAATAAATAGAATTATAAGGAAAACTTTACAAAGCTTGTTTATAAGGCTTGTACACTTTTTTTTTTAAATATTTTTTTTACTGGGCATTAAATAAATGTCAAATATTTAAAAGGAAAAGATTGACAAAGCTTGCTCAGGTATTCTTTTTTTTTTACTTGGTCGACTTCTTTAAATCTTCAATCAAATCAAAATTATTCTATGGGAAACCTTAAAGGCTTTAAATTTTATTTAAAAATAAAAATTTACAAAGCTCGTTTATCAGGAATTTTCTTTTGATTTTGTTATCGATTTTTACTTTTTGAAAATCTTCATTTTTTTTACAGGGTTTCAAAATGAAAATTATAAAATTATTATATAATTAGAAATAATAATAAAGGTTTTAAATGATTTTCTGTAAATCTTTGTAAATTTGTTCCTTCGCTTGGTGTTATCGATAAAAATAGATTTTGATCGAAAATCCTTTGTAAAACACTTTAAAATGGAGATGGTAGGGTCGCCTCCTTGCAATCCCACCACCCCTTTTCGTTGCCCTCTCGCACGTAGCTCAGCAGGACATGCCGTCGTTGCTGGCAATATTGTGATAGTTCGATAACTTTTTTCTTGATATCGTATAGATTCTCCACTGTGATCTCCTGCTGCAAGCACTCGGAGATCCTGTCTGTGGCCGTCTCCAAGTCCTTTTGGTTGTATTCAAAAATCTCCTTCTGGTTGTTGTTCTTCAGGTAAAAGGCAAACACGTAGCTGTACATCAGGATAGAGCGACACTGGCACATGGCATCGATGGCATCGCGCAAAAACTGGACCTCAATCCAGCGAATCCCCAACTCCTTGTCATTTATTTTGGCCTGAATTTCGGCATACAACTTGCGCTCCTTCTTCATGCTTTGCATGTGACTTATGTAACAATCCTTATAGTACTGGACTCGGACTCTGGTGTCGCTAGAGTTCTCCTGTTCCAGACGCGCCCGCCTTTCCGCCGCCTCCGCGAAGAGACGGCAACGGAACCAGTCCAAACTATGCCACCTCCAAGGCTGCAAGCAGAGCCAACAGAATTGGTACAAGCAGGAGAGATTCCTGCAGACCATGTGCTCACATCCTCCGAACTTCTGGATCGACACCTGACACTGGGGGCACTTCTTTGTATTATGGTAGATCCAGTTGGTAGTCTCCGGATCCTCGATTATGCTTAGCCAGTTTTTCAGCAAATTGCAGGCAACGGGCTCGTGCCAATTCTCGCCACAGCTAAAGCAAAACTGATGGCCGCACTTGCACTCCACGGCCTTGGGTCCCATGTAGTTGGCCTCGATGACATAGGAACAGTTGGGAGCGGGACACCAGCGCATCAGCGTGTTGCACTTCACGAAAGTGTTGGCCGTCAGCTGTTTGTAACGCTCCACCACTTTCAAGTCATCGACGAGCGCCAGGTAGGTGGCATAGTCCACGAGGATATTGCAATTGGCAGCCGGACAGGTGATCGTGTGGGTCAGGCCCTCACTGCAGGTCTTATTGACCAAGTACTGCTTCCAACATTCGACGCAGTAGTTGTGGCCGCAGCCCAAACCAAAGTGTTCCAGGTCGGAACAGAAGCATATTTCGCAAGCTAAATCATCGAGGGATGGGTTATAGGCTTCGGGAGGACTTGGAATATCTATCTCGAAGGGATTTAGAACTTGGGCCCGCTGGAAAAACTCATGCGGAGTGCTCTCGAAGTAATTCTCCAACAGCCGCTCCTTGTCCCAATTGAAGTGATTCAAAATGGTCCGAGCGACCGGTGGCGATAGATTCAAGACATTGTTCACCTCATCGATGATGTCCCGCTGATGCTGCACTATCTGATACACGGAGAGAACCTTGTAGACAAAGTCATCTGGCTCTACATGCTGGCAAGGTGTCTCCGGGGAAACAATGTCGGTTTCCTCTTCGCTGTCCCAGTTTCCGGCAATCGGCTGCGAGGGGCTTTCGTTGCCAATAAAGCTAGGAGAAGCTTCGGTCTTGTCATTGGAACTCATTCTGCTGCAGGTAGATTTTTTTTTAGAATTCTGTTTTAAATACATTTAATAATTGCTGACCTTGATGGTGAAAAATTCTTTTTATTAATGGGAAATTAAAGTGTTCAATGTGTTTAGACTTTAATTTACTTCAGATTTACATTGTTTGAAAGACTCCACGTGATTTCATAAACAATTATGACGAACTTTAATAATCTTAGGTTTATCGAATAGGAATGGGAGTGTTCAACCGAAGAAATATATCGATATTTCGATTATTCTGTATTGTTTAGGTGACTTGCGGCATTTTGCAACACTATTATCCCACACAATGTATTCGTGTGAAACAGGTGGCATTTTTTGGCAAATCTGAAACTCCGGTTTCCACAGAGTTCCATCTACTATCTACCATTTGATAGATGTTAGATCGACAGCTGTGGATTTTCCAGATAAAAATATGCTTCAAGTTTATCAACTAGTTTGGCTGTTTAACAACAGGAATACATTAAAATGTGTGCAAAAACCTGTTATGAATTTCTATATATCAATAATTTCTTCTTATGTTATCCATCTCAACTGTTTTCATTAGCCAAGTTTTTTTTTGCTAATAATGAAATCAAAAAAAGTAGTAGTATTTTAAAATAATTTACCAAGCTTTTAGCATTTTAGTTGCTATGCAGAATGCTGATTCGTGCATTTTTTAGTGGAGAGTCCATCGAAATGCATTTGTACATGCCCACTAAAAGCTTTTTGGGATATGCGCATTCATACATAGTATGCACATATGTACATAAATATACATATCTACATACATACATATGTGTATTCCATAACCCTTTCGTGGCATAAAACAGAACAAAGCAATGTCTCAAGTGGCAAGGGTAAGGCACGTTAAATAAAAATCCAGGAATAAAGCATACACAACACAGGCGATATATCCATGCGAAATGAAAGTGAACGAGCGCACAAGGATAATGGCGATGGAAATGGAGTAAGGGTAATGAGTGTGCATAATGCAGAGATGCAGATGCAAGGATCCCGGTCCAGGATCCGAGAAGCAGCCCAATCCAAGCCCATCTCTGCAGCGTGTGCACACTCATTGAACAAACGGACTCAATCTGCCATGGCCCGCCATGGGATGCACTTGGGCATGTTTTACACTGGGAATAAATTCGTTTTCAATTAGATAAAAGTTAACAAATAATAAATAAATAAATTAATTACAAAATTATATTAAATATTAGTATTTTTAAAATCTAAATAGTATATATAAAAAAAATCATAAAGAAAGGTTTCAATAATAAATCAATAAGGATATGATTTTTCATTTTTCATGAATAAATACATTAATAAAAATTGTATTTAATATTAAAAATGATTTTTTCTAACCAAAAATTAAACAGAAAATCCTTTTTTCCCTACTATTGTATGTGCAATTTTAGAGAAGGAACTCACATCATGCCCCTGAAGCTGCCTCTGGATTGCTTTCATTTTTGTTCCTTCTCTCCGATTTTTTTTTCCTTCATTTTTTTTATATTTAAAACAAAAGCCTCACAACAACCCGCCAAAAGCAGAAGCGAAAAAAAGCTTGGAACAAATCACAAATAAAAATGCAAAGTCGCCAAAACAGGAGCAGCAGCAGCAGCCACAAAATCCCTTTCATCCACTTTGCCCAAGGTGGGAGTGGGGAGAATTTTCTGGTGAAATTTTCCCACTTCTCTCAGCCCAGCCTCCTTTCAAGTCAGCCAAATTACAAGAAATCCTTTCGTGCGCGTGAATGCTTTGGTGGAAAATGCGGAAAAGGAAATAATTTGACCAGCTGCAAATGGTAGAAAAGGAGGGTCGAGCCAGCGGCTTTCTAGGCGGGGCCTGTGTGTCATATGTGGAAAATTGCAAGAATTTCTCCTGGCCATGCAAATTGGGCACAGCCAAAGCGAAATGCCAAATGCAATGGCCCAAAGATGCGCCACTTGTTGGCCACGACGACTGCTGGCGAGTCTTTATCATTGCCAATCGCCCAGACCCCTGGCCGAGGACGAGGCTTAGAGAGAGGGAGGGTATAGAGAGAAATGGTCAGCTCGGCTCCGTTGATGGTCAGCAGAGATGGCCCTGTGACGTGACCACGATGACGATGATGATGATGCCAAATGGCTGATAGGCCAAGCCAAAGACCCGTCCAGGCTAAATTCGCATTTTTTCTGCGCCTACTTTAAGCGGTTGCACTGGAAAAAGTCGGTGTTTGGAAAATAAATAACAAAATATCTTTAAAAAATCCTAAATATAATCCAATAATTTCATAATAATAATAAATAATTGAATAATAATTTAAAAATTAAAATAGAAACAATTTTTCGCTTAAATAATATTTAGTTTAAATATTATTTTATTTACATTTAACTTATTATATTTGATTATTTTATTAGCAAACAAGCAGCTTGCTTAAAAATTGTATTTAAAATTTTATAGATAGAAAATATATTCTATTTAATAATTTATGTTTAATTTGAAACTATTTATTTCTAATTTACATTAAAAATATTTGTAAAATTATTTCTTTAACTACTTTGAATAGTTTAAAGTATTTAAAGGCGTTATTTAAAGTTTAAAATTGTTCTCCACCGATGCTTTTGATTTTATTTGCCATTAAAAAATGTATATATTTTACAAATGCCTAAATTATGTGACTAAAATATTTAGAATTAAAAAAACGAAGTAACTTCTACACGAAATGAACTTAAGACATTTTAATTAACATATTTATATATTTTTAACATTTTTTTAATGCTATAAAATATGTTTCAATTTTCTAATTTATTTTAATTAATTTATCTAATTTTCAACATTTTCTAAACTTCTTTGAATAATTTAAAATAATTTTTTTATAATTATAAATATTATTTTAGGTGCTTTAAATAATTTTAAACAATTTTCTTGCTGTGCCATTTGATATTCCTACAACTATTTGCGTTGAAAAATTTTTCTTGGGAAAAAAATTCGCACATCTAGGGTAAAGGGGATCTTGCCGCACTTTCCCCCTTGGCATTGACCAAAAAGGATGTTCGGTTGGAAATTCATGTAAATTAGCTAGGTAATTACAAGCTTTATATCAGCGGCCAACGGATGTATGCTGATCGCGGCGATAAATGCGTTTGCCCGCTTCTCGCATTATAATTACGCTCTTGTGTTTTCATTGTTTTTTGTTGTATTTTTTTTTATCTTTTTGTATTGTGTAGAGTCGATTTGAAAAGCAAAAATTAGCTGGAAACCAACGAGCATGAAGTAGTAGCTCTACTCGGTGTGTTTGGAAGAAAATCAACGCTCGGAACTAATTTGATTTTGATGTGACTCCGGGGCTTGGAGGAGAAATATAGAAATGATATAGAAGAATGCTGCGCGTATAGTATATTTATTTTTGTTCCGAATAAAGCTGGGCTTCTCCTCGCCTCATAATCAAGTCGCCGGCCAGGCATGAGTTATTACATTAACGGTCGGCATGGACAGCTGGATTTATGTATGTTTTCTCTGCGCCATTGATCGACCTTGACTAGCAGCAGTCAGCAGCCACCTAACAGTAGCTCTCTTCGTATATAATTAAAACGAAAATTAATTTCAAGTTTCGAGTATGTCAGAGATTTATGTGGATTTCGTTTTGGTCTCGAGACTTTAGATTCTTTTTGAATGTGAACCCCGGTGATCATTCATCAAGTGGCTTGGCGATAAATGGGTTAGGGGAACGATCATTCGTCATAGTATCATGGCGTAGATGGATTGAGGGAAGTTAGCGGGGTTTAAAGATATATAATTTTGATTTTTTATAGAAAAATATTACTAATAATTTTATTTTTAAGTTATGAGAGCATTTTTTTATAGAAAAATATTACATATAATTTTATTTTTAAGTTATGAGAGCAATATAACTTATGAAAAAGTCTGATGAGTACGTTTCCTTGTAAAAAACAGTGCAGTTAAAATTCCCAAGTACGAATTCAGGCGCACACTGGTATGGTAAAAGCGAATTAATACCGATAAAGCTGTTTTGTTTTTAATTTAATCTTTTTGTAATATTGTTTTAATCTTAAAATGTTTCAAATAATATTTCCCTGTGTACCCCGAATTTTTTTTTAATATCTCTCTAACCCTTTTTTTCTTGCAATTCGCCTTTAGGAGCTGTCATTGCACTTCTCTTTCATCTCGTCGTCAAAGAAAAATCATTGCCAAAAAATTCGCTTTGAAACGATTGTATTCCGTTGCAACCCCAGGGCACATATCCTTATCAACCCGCAATTCTGTATTTTTTTTTTTCTTTGCCAAATACTTCCAATCAAAACTGTTCTGTGGGGGTGAGAAAAAAAGAATGGAAAAAAATGGGCGAAAAGAAAAATAACCATGTGACAGGCGAACAAAAACTTGAGTGCGAAGAAAAGTGAAAGTGCTCCCCCTTCAAAAAGACATTCAACCCCCGAAAAAAAAAGAAAAACAGAACTGGGTAAACGAAAAACTTTTCCACCACATGTGTGTGAAAGTGTGTGGAGCAGCTATCTCTTTCCATCGTTTGGCGGCTTTTTGCCTTTGAAATTGAAGCATTTCCGCCATTTTTGCAGAGGTGGGAATGGTTGCCTTTTGGAAAAAGGCTAAGAAAGTGCGTTAAGAGTAGGAAAACTGTGAAAACTACTCCACTTCAAAGTGGCAGTTTAGTAACTCGCAAGAAGGCAAATCACTGAAGGCTCAGACTTCAAAGCGGGTTTTGCATTTCGTCCGCCAATATTCTCGCGCTTTTGTGGCTTCCTTTGGGTTTTTTTTAACCCTCCTCTTCTTATTTTGTTAACCCTCAAACCCACCTCGATATGTAGCCGAGAGAGCATTGACTTTGGGTCGAAAAACTTTTTGAGGGGTCTGGGAATATGATTCACACACACATGGGCCAGTGAAAGTCGTCCTTTGGAATTTCGCGTGTTTAGTTGACATTTAGTGGACTTGACGGGTTCACACTCGTCTAAGCGAGGGGCGTTGCTGGCTTTTTATGATTTTTTAAGGGGTACTAACGGGTTGATTTGGTGTCATTTTGTGGTAATTATAATTATATAGGGTTAAAATTTAGATGTAAAAAATTATAGAATAGGTAAAAGTATTTTTATTAATTTTTAAAAATAAATTAAAGATAAATAAGGTATCTTTATAAGAGTTTTTAATTAGTAAA